CAGCTGGGAGTGACCCTGGGGGATGGGCCCCGTGCTCTACCAGCCACTCACTGCAGCTGGGAATGACCCTGAGGGATGGGCATGTGGGGGGGGGTTCTTCTGAGGCTAAAAGCGTCCCACCCCCAAAGCCCCGCAGACCCCCTGCAGGGCCTGGACAGAGACCTCCAGGATTGTGTCCCTGCACAGATGGCAGAAGGGATGCATGGGCCCAGTGCCCCGGCTGCACAATGACAAGAAGCCAGGTCAGTCCTTCACGAGCAGCTCTGGGGGCCAGGGAGAGGGCAGAGTGGCTAAAATGCAGGAGGAGGTGCACCCCGAGGCAAGGAGGGGAGTGTGCAAGACGCGACTGGAGAGGTGAGGGGCTGGGACACACCGGAACACAGGGAGTGTCATCATCCTGCGGAGCTGGGACTGCACTCTGGCATGCCGGGGGCTCAGTGCTGGCAGACAAGGGGTGGGGGCCGGGGGGTTGTGGCCCATGGGGGCCAAGAGCCCTTCTGACTAGGCTGCTGGTGGAGCTGCCAGAGGCCCCCAGCCGGGCCTCTTCCTGCTCGATTAGCAGCACTGAGCCCTTGCCTTGGAAACCACAGTCCCATCAAACCGCCAGGAGGGTTGGGCCTTGTGTGTGCACGCGGCAGGACTGCAGCTTGGGCGCCTGGAAGCCCCCAGGCTGGGCTGTTTCACACCTCTCCCCACAGCTTTTGGTGTCACAGTGAGAGCTTAATGACCCGACACTCAAGGAGGGGTGAGTGTGCTTTCCAGTGAGCGTGCATGGATCCTACAATTAACCAAACAGCACATCCTTGTCAGCCAGCACAGGCCACCTCGTAAATGAATTCACGTTATTAAGTCCTACTGAATTAATGTTTAACTGCAATAGAGTCGGAACTGAATGAGGCCATTAATCAGGGCAAGGGGGGAAAAAGAGCCACGTCTGTCCTGCAGGAGTTGCTTGAGCGAGGTGACCTTCATGGCGTTGAGCTGGGCTGGGTGGCCCTGGTGGGTGTAACCCTGGTGTGTGGGGGTGCTCCAAGCAGGGAGCCCATGGGGCAGAGGACAGGCTCTAGGCCCCGAGGGGATGTGCTAGCTATGGTGGGGAGGCCAAAACGTGGCCAGCTGGAGCAGACGTCCACCAGGATGCTGTGCTGCTACCCACATCAGGCAGCCCTGGGCAAGCCCCTTGACCTCTTCATGCCTCAGTTTACGCTTCTGTGAAACACAGACAACAACTCATCTACAGGGTTGTTGTGCAGCTTCAATGAGTGAATAATACACGCAAAGCACTAGGACAGTGCTGGGTATGTACTCAGCATAATATATATCATGGTGATCACTCCATCACCATCGCTGCCACCATCACCATGATCACCATCCTCACCATCACCATCATCACCATCACCACCATCCTCACCATCACCATGATCACCATGATCACCAGCACCATCCTCACCATCCTCACCACAATCCTCATCACCACCATCATCACCACCACCATCATCACCATCACCATCATCACCATCACCACCACCATCATCACCACCATCATCATCATCATCACCATCACCACCATCATCATCACCATCATCACCACCATCATCACCATCATCACCACCACCATCACCACCACCATCATCATCACCATCATCATCACCATCATCACCATCATCATCACATCACCATAATCATCACCATCATCATCTTCACCATCATTACATCTCAGCCTCTTCCCTTAGATCACCTGAACAACTCTTGGAGGCATCTAGACCCCCACAGGGTCTAGACACAGACACCTCTCACTGACAGTGCCCTGCTCCCCCAGGAGCACCTGCACAGGAGGTCTGGGGAACTTGGCCTTCATCCCTGGGCCTCTTCCAGAAACCTGGGCAGCCACTTGCTTGGGTGGGGGCAGCTTGTCACCCTCCAGAATTGGGAGACACAAATCAACACAGTCACTGAGCAGCAACAGAAATGGACCTTTTTCTTCTCTCAGTGTGAACGTTAATTACTGCTTCACAGTGGAGTTTAGTGGAGGTTGCCTGTCTCCCATTTCTCTAACAAAGGCATGAAAAATTCTTGGGCAGGGAGACCTTGACACTGAGTCCACTTCTCCCATCAGATGCTCTAGCACCTGGGCCTGGGCCTGGCTCAGAGGTGCCCATGGAGAGTGGGGAGGAGAGAGGCAGGGAGCAGGGACAGGGTCCCTCCTGCTCACTGTGGGGGCCCCCTCATGCCATGGAGACAGAGAGGGCTTAGAGACTGCCCTGGGCCCTGCCGTGGAGAAAGATACTGAAAGCCACCCCTAGTGCTGCTTCTGCCTCCCCCCAGCTTCCCACTCAGGTGACCGCTTGATCCAGGGGTCAGAGAGGGTTGAGGGGTGGTACATGGCCTGGTGCTCTGGCCTTGGGCCAGGTTTCTGCTCTTGCTGCAGCACACGGTCTGGGATGCTACCTACAGAGGTCCTGCTTACAGAACTGCCCAGGGACCAAGGAGGACCTGACTTCTCACCAGCTTGAGACTCACTCTTGAAGGGTATTGCTGCCTGCAAAGGCCCGAGCAGCTGCAAACCAAAAAAAAACAGCAGGGTCCATGTGTGGGCGGAAGGCCATGGAACATTCTATGCAACCCACTTGAGCGTGGGGGCAGAAAGGTCTGAGCAGCTAGAGTCAGTGCTGAGTCCACACTCTGGGCTGCCTTGGGGACACCCAGGGAATTTCAGGAGGCACAAATCCTTGATGTGGGCTGTCTTCATTGGGCCTGTTCTCATGACTCGTGCCTGTGCACGCAAACCCAGCTGGCCTGTCGTGTATGTGCATGTTCTGAGACATGTCAAGGTGTGCTCTGAGGCCTGTCTCATGTGAGCACCTGGGCATCCTGCCCAATGGGTGCTCTACCCCAGGGTGTCCTGCCAAGTGTTCCAATGTGCACATGGCATGTGTGCACCCAGGTGACCTAACACAGGGCCACTTGTCCTTATGCATGTGGCCGAGGAGCACTGGCCATGCTCAAAGGACACGTCTGTGCTTCCCATGGCCCCTTGTGGGTCCCATCAGCTCCAGCTTAGTAAACATTCTGCTCATTGGTGCTGCCTTGGAAGAACTTTGGGGAAGAGAGTGGCTGCCTTGCCTGCCGACATGGGTATCCGTCTGCCTCCAGAGAGAAGGGCACAAGGTGCTCACCTTCTATCCTGCTGCAAATGCTCCACTGGGATGTACAACACCTGCCCCATTAAGCAATTCAGCTAAAGAAGGAGCTGTGAACAGACTGCAGGAGGCCCAGGCTGGGAGCCACCTCCCATCACCTATGGTCTGGAGTCGGGGTGAAAAGGCCATTTTTCATCCTTGTTGGCACACCCCAGCCACGTACGTGAGCGCCACAGATGTTGGGCAGTGATACGGGACCTCATGGGCAGGGGTGCCAGGAGCAGGGTGGGGGCTGCGGTCTGGTCTGTGCCTGGGGCGGCCATGGGATCAGCTGGGTGACTGTGTCTGAAGCGCTGGGCCACGGCTGCAAGGGCGGGGCGCACCGCACAGAGGGGAGCCGTGCCTGCCAGCGCTCACCAGGGTATTAGCCTACTTCACAGACAAGAAAGTAGAGGCCTGGGGCGCCTGGGCAGCACAGTCGGTGAAGCGTCTGCCTTCAGCTCAGGTCATGATCCCAGGGTCCTGGGATCGAGCCCCACATTAGGTTCCCCGCTCAGTGGGGAGTCTGCTTCTCCCTCTGCTTGTGCTCTCTCTCTCAAAATGAATACATTAAAAAAAAAAAAAAAAGTAGAGGCCCAGAAGTTAAAGGGATTTGCTGGCAGCAACATGGTGCACAGGCAGGAGCCAAGCCCTAGAACCTGGGGTTTGGGTGTGCCCAGCAACAACCCTGGCACTACAGGGCAGGCGGGAGAGGGGAGCCACACATCCCACTGGCGGGAGGCCTGGGACCCTGTGGGGGGTGGGGCTGATGGTGCACTGGCTCACTGGGGCCGCTTCTGTACAACTCAGGCCCCACCACAG